GTGTAGACTACACCATCGTCCATCTTCATCTTAATGGCAGTGTCAACGATTTTCAAGGCATGATCATTTCCCATGTACACAAAGCCTTCTGGGATAGGTTCATATTGGTGGAACCATTCTCTCCCCGAGGTCATGTGCCATGTAGCTCCTGAGTCTAGAAGCCAAACATTAGAAAATTTTTGCTTGCCTTCAGTGATAGTTGTCACCTCGATGTACAATATCTTTCCATTCGATGAAGTACTTGCAACATTTCCTTCAGAATTTGCTCTTCTGTTTTCTTCATTCTTGAGGTGCCAACACTGTTTCTTAACGTGACCTTTCTTACCACAGTGATAACATTTGATTTTCTTCTTACTTCCTGACTTTCTAGCGTCCTGACTCCCACTGAAGCCATGTTCTGTTGATTTTTCTCCCATCATTGCCAAAGCTTCTGCTTGCTGCGAGCCTACCAACATGCCTTGCTAATTTTTGTGCCTTTGTTCTTCTTCCAGAACAATAGTTGCAATATCATCAAAGACTAAATAATCTGTGAGAATATTACTGGTCATGTTGACGATGAGTGAATCATATGAATCTGACAAACTTTGGAGTAGAATTTCAGCACGCTCTTTCACATCTATCTTGTAACACATCTTCGAGAGTTTTGAAAATATTGCGTTCAAAGCACTGAGTGCTCCGTCATAGAAGTTGATTCTGACATCCTCATGGTGTAGAGCCTTCTCTTCAAGAAAATCTTGTTGTAAAATGACTTCCTCTCGTACAACTTTGTCAGAGCATCCCAAATTTCTTTTGCAGTCTCCAACTCTTCTACCCCTTCCAAGATAAAATCGGCAAGACCTAGATGTAGACTTATAATGGCACTTTCGTTCATTATGTTCCATTGGTCATCGCTCATCCCATCTAGTGTATATCCGATGGCCGCCAAACAATTCTCCTTCATCAAAACTGCCCTCATTTTTTCTTCCATTTCGAGAAATTGTTCCCGCTAAAATTCTCTATCTCATACTTAATTGTCATTTTGCAGTATCTATACCATAGTTTAATCCAATGGATTTTCTTGAACAACCAGTTGAAAACCAGACTCTGATACCACTGTTAGGATCGGACGTGGAAAATCACTGTTAGGTGAGACGAGAAAAATAAATAATGGGAAACCGAAAATTTACGTTGGTAGAGTGCCTACGTCCAGGGGAAGGATTTATACTGACTGTTAAGGAAATACAACACTTCTCTCTGTTATAAGGAGAATACAAGAATAATTCTCTCTTATACAAAAGAAATTAAATACTCAGAAATAAAGAGAAAAACCCGAAAAAATAAGAGAGACCCAAATTTTTTTTCCCTTTCTCTCTCTTATCTGCTTTATCCTCTCAAAGAAACAAACTATTATCTCCACGTGGACTCTATACGTATATGAGAAATGTCGTCATGATCACCTGGTTTTATACGTATATATATCAAATCGTGCATACTATAAAAAAAAGCCTTTCAATATCCATATACGATAATTGAAAGGTTTTTATTATTATTACGCATGGTTCGATATATATACGTGTATAAAACCTAATTACAACAACTTTCTTAATTGTAGGAAATATATCGAGAATGTTTGTGGAATTGCTCTTGTTATCGCGAATATGTTACCTAGACGATTTGGATATTTGTAAAAGAAGATATATATATTTGTAAAACTTCTCTTTAGTGAAGAGAACGAGGATTTTGAGGACTAAAGGAAATAGGAACTTGATGACATCGGTTTTTTAACGTTATTTTTCTATGGTTTTAGTTGCATTTCACTTCTCTTTTTCGTACAAATCTAGTATTTAGGCTGCATTTTGTACACAAATATTGTTTTCTTTACTCTTTGATGTAATTTTAGGAATATCCGCATAATTGGACGAAAATCGAAGCTAAAATGGTATTTTTGGAGCTTAATTGGATCAAATGGACGATCATGGACGAGCTAAGATGAGAAATGGACTTGTCACAGACGAGAAACGGACTTGTCACAGACGAGAAACAGTATTTTTGGCAGGTCACGGACTTGTCACAGACGAGAAACGAACTTCAGAGCGAAAAAGAGAGAATCTCGATGTTGAGAACATCGATATCGACGTTTTCAACTACCTCGAAATCATACTTTCAGATTTCCCGATCTAGACGTTCCCGAAAATCGATATCAATGTTCCATACCACGAGATCTGAGCAGTCCAGATATTGACTTTTTACAACGTCGATATCGAGATTTTGACACTGTGGGAGAATATCGATGTTTTCTAACATCGATATCGAGGTTTTTAATATCGATATTTCGAGATGTCTATAAAAATGACCATACGGATCAGAGAGGGGATTCACACACTTTCACACTTTTCGAGACTTTTCGAGTTTTTTTGGATTCTTGACACTTTAGGGGACGAATTGGAGTGGAGATTGCTACATTTCATTGTTCAAAGATTGATTCTTCATTCTATAAGTCTTCTATTCCTTTTTCTATTGAAATGTTGTATGAATCCATGTCTACTTTGCTTTCCTCCATGATGTGTGAGTAGATTACTTGTTGTAGGCTAGGGAATCTAGTCATGTTATGGAATTATCAATATGCTTAAACAGTTGAATGCATGTCTAAGTTAGATCCAGTTTTATGAATTGAACGTAATACTTTGTTAGGATTGATCACCCTATATAATTGAACTTGGATTAGTTAATTGCAAAAGAATTTGGATTAATTAATACCGAAAATCTTAATTTGACCTAGGAACTATGATAGCGGACGTTAATGCTTCTAACGTAGACCTAAAGATGCGGAAGTTGATAGGAAAGCGTTAGTTAGAGAACGAAGATCCCTAACCGGACGTGTTCTAGGATAGAGGCTAGAGTTTCCTGAATCAACCTTAGACTGCAAACCAACCACATCTATTTAGATAGTCCGTAGCATTGGTGAACCCCTACATCTACAATGCCTTTAGTTATAGTTCTTTCCCAACCAACCAATTATTTTGCTATCGACCTTTGCTAGGATCACCATCGACACCATCACCTTTCGGTCCCTGTGTTCGACCCTGGTACTACATTGAATCTGTACCCTTACGGAATCGACTTAGTCTAGGTATTTATTACTTGACCATCCATTCACCTAGATTGGCACGATAAAGTTTTTGGCGCCGTTGTCGGGGACTGAGGTTTATGACCAGGTTCTAGTTTTCCACCACCATCTACTTTCTTTCCACCACCATCAGATTCCCTTATTTCGGGAATCAAAACTTTGATTCCTTCGGTTTATGACCAGGAGCCGTGGAAGTTGAACTCTACTTCCTCCTGATCCGGAAATCGAAAGAACTCTTCAACTCCTGAGGCAACGAAGGAGATTGAAAGCAATGGAAGACAACAAAAATGTTGACGACCATCCTGCGCATAACGTTGCTCCACTGAGAGCAGTAGAGCGAAACGAAGCGCTTACTTTTGGAGATTACACTGCTCCAAAGCACACTCCACTTCTTTCTTGCATTCGTGGACCAGGAAATGGGCGAACCCTCCTCTACAACTCGCTTTTATCCAAATTTTATACACGAGTGCTTTTAGAGGTAACTCTACCGAGGACCCCAACTTGCATCTGACTCAGTTTAAATCTCTCTGTCAGTCCGTCAGAGTAGCGAACGAAGTTACAACTGAGGAAGTGCTACTTCTTGCTTTTCTTTCTCCTTATCGGGAAAAACACTCGAATGCCATGATGCTCTGCTTGCAGACTCGATCCATACTTGGGATCAACTTGCTGACAAGTTCATGAACATATTTTTCCCTACTCATAAGACCCACCTTGCGAAGAACAAGATTGATTCCTTCTCGCAAGAACATGGAGAATCCTTGGGTGAAGCTTGGGAACGATTCAAGGGATACCAAAGAGCATGCCCTCATCATAACTTCGATAGATACTATCTTCTATCAACTTTCCTGAACAGATTGAGGGATGAGATAAGGTTCTACATTAGTTGTGCAAGCGGAGGTAGTCTTCAAAAGCTAACCTTTGATGAGCTTGAAGAACTAATTGAGCGTATGGCTAGCGATAGGACCACTCCAACCTAGTTTTCAAGAAAAAGGGGTAATGTAGAGAACGTTAGTGAAGTACAGGCTCTGAAAGCCGAATTAGCTGAACTAAAGATGCAGGTCTATTCATCGAACCGTAACACCTTAGGCGAAACATCGGATCAGCTCAGTAGAGACCAGTCCATGTTCTCACAAGAACAAGGGGTTGAGGATGTTAACTATGTTGCTAACAATCCTTATTCCAACACTACAACCTTGGCTGGAGGAACCATTCTAACTTCTCCTACAAGAGCAACAATTACCAAAATGCTCCTCAGGAGAATAGGAACCGAATGTTCCAAAACTCGGGATCATTCCAAGGCCAAACTTTCCAACAAAGACCTCAACAACCGTTTCACAGATACCAAGGGTATCAAGGTAACCAACAGTTTCGAGGTCAACAACAACAACAACCTCAGCAAAAGTTGGATCAGACCCCCGATATTAAGTCAATACTCGAAACGCTCCTACAAGGGAAAACGCCTATGAATAACACGATGTAAGGGATGGTCACCGAACAAAGTGATTTAAAGAAGCAAATCCAAAGGATAGAGTCCCATGTCAAGCTTCTAGATAACTAGGTAGCTCAAATTGCAGCTAAACCCAGTAGAACGCAGGGCACATTACCTGGTAAATCTGAGCCAAACCCTCGTGAGCAATGTAACACTGTTTATGTGAATGACAACGAAGTTTATGGAACGAGGAGAATCATTGTTGAACAAAGGAGAGCGTATCTAGAGAAGCAAAGAAAGCTGACCGTATAGGAACCAGAGGACGTATACGTTCCACCGCCTCCACGACCACCTCCTATATCGTTCTCGCAGCGATTGCAGCGTACTCCGCCCGTAGACGGTGAGCTCACAAAATTCGTTGATATGTAGAAAAAGATGAAAATTGGCCAACCTCTATAAGAAGCTATGGAGCAAACACCATCTTACGAGAAGTTTCTTAAAGACTCTCTCGTTAAGAAGGAGAAATTGGAAGAGGAACCAATAATCCTGATAGCTGAATGTAGTGTTGTACTGCAACAGAACCTACCAGCCAAGATGGCAGATCCAGGAAGTTTCTCTATACTCTGCCAGTTGGGTAGTGTCTCTATTCCTAGCACACTGTACAATTTAGGAGCAAGTGTGAGTCTGTTACGAAAGACCACGTATGATAAGCTGAATGTGGATGAATTGAAGCCCACCAAGATGATCCTGCAGCTGGCAGACAAGTCAGTGAAAGACTCTCTAGGGACTTTAGAGGACGTACCACTTAAGGTTGGAAACGTTTACATTCCGATCGATTTTGTGGTTATTGATATGGAAAACATAAATGATGAATTAGTCATCTTGGGGCGTCCATTCCTCAATACTATCGATGTCGTGATTCATGTCCGGAAAGGATGCATAGAGATGCATATAGGAGATCATGAGGACATTGAATTCAAGCTGGAACCAAAACTAGAACGGGTAAAGAAGAAAATGCGCGTCCATTAACTATTCCGGAAGAACCGCCTGGTTCATCGGAAAAACAAATTCCACAACCGAACGATAAGGGCAAGGGAATTGCCTATGATGAAGACGTTTACATCCTGCCAGTAGCTAAATCTGTAATCTCTGAGGCAGAGAATGAGATAAAAGCTAAATCTGAATCCCTAATAATGACATCTAAGGGGAAAACCAACGGAAAGGTTCCGTAGAAGCAGAGCATAACACTAAAGATCCCTGATGCTGCATTAGGAACTAAAGTGAAACCGCCAGATCCCATTTCTGAATCAGCGAGGGGAAACAACTATAAATTGAGACAGACTGTGTGCACTAGCACAGTGTACATACCTCCGGGACAGCGGGGAGTTAATCAATTTTGTCCAACGCGACCACCATATCACTGAAAATGAGAGGGTCAAGCTGATGACCTTAAATTAGCGCTTGACCGGAGGTAACCCGTGTAATTGCATTGTATTAGCACGTTTAATTTCATGTATCACGAGCATACGTTGCTAGAAAAAGGACCAAGTGATCGGGAAAGTGGAAAACGCAAAAAATCAGATTTTTGGTAGCAGATCAATGCCGCCGATGCAAAACATAGAATCTACCAAACGGGTGCAGTACTCTGACTTTGCGTCCAATCCACAGAGGATGCGGTTGCGTAAGCTCCATCCTAACAAAGAGGATGGAGCATTGTGGTAAGGATTTTTTTTAATTTATTTAATAAATTTACAATATAAAATTTATTAAATAATAATTAATTAGATTGTTAATATTTAGGTTTAATATCAATCAGATGGTTAATAATTCTGTCTCGAGCTTTACAGAGAACAATTTCACTGGACCTTGGATGAATTAGTCCAGATTACCAGAAACCACTCGGCAACACTTGTTTGCTAATTTTGCTGTCAGTTTATAAACCCTATTAAAAACTATTAAATTTTAATTCCAAAATGTTTTGTTAATTTTTTTAATTAAGTTTTTTTAGCAATCTTGGTATTGGGATGAGGTGCATACCTCAAAGGTCTATGAGGCATGGAAAAAATGTGTCACGGACCTTCTCAAATCCAAAGTCAACAGGTATAAACGGTATTGGCAGATGAAGCCAGATCGTTCTCCCACAAAGAACATTGAAAGCGGGGTCTAGGCCCAGATGGTGGAGTTTTGGGAAGACCCATTAACATTGAAAGAAGTAAAAAGATGGTCCAAAGTAGAAAAATGGGCGTGGCTCCCGACGCCGGTCCAAGGAAGCACACATCGGGATGAAAACTATTTAGTCGGGTCATGCATGCATTGGTAATTAATATATATTTTCAAATTTAAAATATATAAAATATGAAAAATTATTTATCTTATTAATTTTTTTTGTTGTAAGCCCGAACGTGTGGAAAACAACCATCGCTTCTAGATGTGTTAAAAGTTATACATACAAGAAAAGATGGAAGCATAATCGACGAAAAAGTCAAAAATTTGATTATAGATATCGAAGAAGCGATACGTATTTAAATGTATAAATATTTGTATAAATATATATTAATTATATAATTTTAAAATCTTATATATATTACATGTCATAGCATAATAACTGTGTTATTTGAATTCAAACGATCGTTTGCAATGAAATTTCGCCTTTTGAACCGCAAAAATTTCGCTGAAAAAAAAAACAGTTTTTTTTAAGTGATAAAATATTCAGATCCGGATTCGGGGTATTATAGGGACTGTTAGTTCGTTCGCGTTGGGACTATCATGGGTATTGGATACGATTACCATAGGTATTCGTTGGAGAACGAAATACTGGAATGACCCGCATGAGATTGTCACATGGACTAGCGTCATGACTTGAATTTCATGTGACGGTTCCATGATTGGTAGTCATAGAGTCTTGTTAGAGACCGCCTATGACTTGTATACCCGAAATGGAGATTTCGATTATTGATGACATCGGTTTTTGATGTTATTTTTCTATGCTTTTAGTTGCATTTCACCCCTCTTTTCCATACAAATCTAGCATTTAGGCCACATTTTATGCACGAATATCGTTTTCTTTGCTCTTTGATGTGATTTCAGAAATATTCGCGTAATTTGATGAAACCGGAGCTAAAACGGTGTTTTTGGAGTTTAATTACACCAAGTAGACAATCACGTACGAGGTAAGGAAGGTCACAGATTTATCGCGGGCGAGAAACAGACTTCGGAGCGAAAAAGGAGGAATATCGAGGTTTAGAACATCGATATCGACATTTCATAACATCGATATCGGCATTCTTAAACCTCGATATCGAAGTTTCCAGCCACCTCGAGATCAGACTTTCAGATTTTCGGATCTAGATGTTTCTGAACATCGATATCGATGTTCCATCCCTCGAGATCTGAGTAGTCCAGATGTCGACCTTTCACAACGTCGATATCAACCTTCCATCCCTCGAGATCTGAGCAGTACAAATGTCGACCTTTCACAACATCGATATCGACCTTCCAAAACCTCGAGATCTGGGTGTTGGGTTATCTACGGGTTCCTAGCATGCGATCTCATCGATATAGGATTTGGTTTCTAGGTTTCATGCAGCGGAAGAAGAGATTTAAACCTAGCCAAACGTCACACAAAACCAATTGTGCAATAACTCGGAAGAACGTGTATATCACCGTGGGATTCGAATACTTACCTCTTTCTATCAAGATCTGGAAGTATCAATCGATCCAGGGCATGTTTTAATCACCAAGAGCTGAAAGTACAACTCTTCTACACGTATCCACACCAGCGGGAAGGATTCCAACATTTGGAATGTATCTGCTAGGATTTGTGAAGAGAAAACGACGTCAAACGTCAAACGTCATATCGATCTAGGGTTTCGCTATGGATTTCTAGCATGCGATCATATCGATCTAGGGTTTGGTTTACTAGGTTTCATGCAGCGGAAGAATAATCTAAACCTAGTCAAACGTCTCACGCAACAAAAATCATCCGTAAAACCCCGTTTAATCGTGTATATCACCGTAGGAATCGAATACTTACCTCTTTCTTGAAGATCTGAAAGTAGCAATCGATCCAGGGCTTGTTTTAATCACCAAGAGCTGAAAGTACAGCTCCTCCCCGCGAAGGATTCCAAACGCTTTTGGAACTGATCTGCTAGGATCTGTGAAGTGAATAGGGTTTTCAAGACTTGGGATCGAATCCCGGGAACTAGAACCTCAAAAAAAAACGATTTTCTTGTTTCTAGATCTGTCTTAGGGTTCTGTAAGTTTTTCTTAGGTTGAGGATGGCGTCCAATACCCCCTTATAAGTTAGAAATCCTAATCCTTGTGAAAAGAGACTTTTTCCGAGTATTGACTCGGTCCGAGTCAAAACTCTGACTCGGTCGAGTCAGAACGAATCAGCCCAAGCCCATTGTCAACTCTTGACTCGACCCATTTAGTATTGACTCGGTCCGAGTCAAAACTTTGACTCGACCGAGTCAAAACATCAGCCAAGCCCAAAACACTTTCTGGGCTTCGACTCGCATGGAACTGACTCGATCCGAGTCAAATACTGACTCTCACGTTCCAACTCTCCTTCTTCTTCCCGAAATCCCGTAAAACTCTTATTTCTCTCACCAAAGCTCTCCAAAGTCTGTATAATCTGTGTGTCTCTTTTGGACGTCTGTAGAGTCTTTTTATAAACCCTAGGCGGCGCTCCCGAAGTCCTATTCC